AAGAAGGGGTGGCTTTGAGTGGAATCCCAAGAAGAAGGAGTCTTTTCAACTATTAAAAAAAGCCATGACACAAACACCGTTATTTCCTTACCAAATTTTAATGAACCATTCATTATTGAATGTGATGCATAAGGAACATGTATTAGAGGAGCACTCATGTAAAACTAGAGAGCCATTTCATTTTTCATCCATGCTCGACTAGGTAAAAAATTGTATCTATCAACATATGAAAAAGAAATGCTAGCTCTAATTTTTATAATTAAACAATGAAGGCCAAATTTATGGGAAAGAAAGTTCATTGTGCAAACTAATTAAAGAAGCCTCAAGTATTTATGGGAGCAAATAATTGTCACTATAGCACAAGAGAAGTGGTTATCAAAATTAATAGGATTTTACTTCACCTGTTGGGTATAAAAGGACAAGGAGAATTATGTTGCTGATGTATTTTCTAAAAAGATATGAAGGTAGGCAATTGGTCGTAATCACCGCATTGGTACCAACTTAGCTTGAATCAATAAAAAAAAGGTTTATAATAGTGCCATCTTATAGTGACTTATGAAACTATGCCAGCAAGGAGAAACCGTAGGCCCTAGAGTTCAAATAAGGTATTTTCTACTTTAAAAATAAAATATATCTTTTGACTTAATCATCTTTAATTCCCACCATTGTTAGGGAGATGCACTATAGTACCTACGAAGGATACCATAAAATTTTACAAAGGATTAAGTTAGTTTTTTTTTGGTAGAGCATTAGGAAAACCTTTCTTTAATTCATCCGAATTTTGAAATATGTCAAAGGCATAAAACTAACAATAACAACCAAGTTAGTTACTTACAACCCCTCCCAATACCAACTCGAAGCTTGAACTAATATATTTATGGATTTTATGGAAGGCTTTCCAATTTCTATAGGCAAGTCGGTGATTTTTGTGGTAGTTGATCAGCCTTTCTAAGTTTACTCATTTTATACCTATCTCTCATCGGTACTCAACGACTACTATAGCCCAAGTCTTTTTCAATCAAATTTTTAAACCGTATAGGATGCCTAAAAGCATTATGTGTGATCAAGACCCTATTTTCACTAATATTTTCTAGAAGTAACTCTTCAATTTGCAGGAAACTAGTTTCAACTTCATCTCATCCTACCATCTCGCAAACCGACTACCAAACAAAGGTGGTAAATAAGATAGTAGAGACATACCTATGATGTTTTACAAGTCATAGGTGGAGGAAATGGACACAATGGATTGCTTGGGTTAAGTATTGTTACAATACAAGTACTCATTCTTCCACAAAGAAGACTCCTTATAAGATTGTGTATGGAAAGCCTCCATTAATATTATTATCATATTTTTTAGGAACTTCTCTTATGGAATCTATAGATGATGAATTACAAGGGTGGGAGCAAGTTCTAAAAGAGTTACGGGACTAGTTAAACATGCATGGCTCAAGCAATGTATGAAGAAGTATTATGATGCCACAAAACTAACAAAAGCTTTGAAGTTAGAGATTCAGTTTTTCTCAAGTTACAATTGTACGGACAAGCGTCATTAGCTCTTTGAAGAAATCTCAAATTAGCCCCTAAGTACGAGATTATTGAAAAGATAGGTGTAGTTGCATACAAGTTTAAATTACCTAAAAGCTCCAAACTTCATCTAGTGCATGTTCCATGTCTCATTGCTCAAGAAGAAAGTTGGTGAAAATAAAACAATTCAAGAATTTTTACCAATGGATTAGTCCTCTACCCCAAGCCATTCTAGACCATCGTTGGTGAAAATAAAAGAATTAAGTTCTTATTCATTAGCAAGGATTGTCACCAAGCATATGCAACATGGGAATATTATGATGAATTCCGACTGCGATTTCTCGATGACACCTTTGAGGACAAGGGGGCTTTCTAGAGGGAACAAATGTTATGTCCAAAGAGACAATTTCTTTTGTTTATCGTTAGGATTTCACAATAAAGTAGTTTTTAAGATTTTGAATTGTTCAAACTATTTCATGTTTCTAGAATTAGGTTTTAAGATTAGGAGGAGATTTACCTAAGTAATTGCTAGAGTTTAGAGATAAGTTGTTGAGTTTTTGCTTATTTATTTGTAAGTTGTTCGGAAGATTTATGTTTCCCTCGAAGCAAACCTAGCTCTTCTTTTATTCACATTTTCTCTCTGTTTCAATTCACAATAGGTAGAAAGGAGACAAACAATCCAAGTTAACTTATAATCCACCGTTTGCATAGCTTACCACCGAGTCCATTATCGCTAAATGTAACATATTAATTCTTTTGACTTATTCAATTTTGAATGTCACATATGTTGAGTAGCGACACTATCCATGAGATTTTGTGTTTTTTTTTTTTTACTCTGTTTCTAATTTTTTTGCCCCCTCCTAAATTGCAAGGACTCGGATGGGAATCATTGGTGGAAGGAGTCTCCAAGGCTAGCCGAGAGCATGAAGTGAGTCATCCTTGTACCCTTTTTTATCCACTCACTAATTACTTCACTCTCTTTTTCCTTGTTGTTCTTATATGTTTGAGTTGAATCTCCGGGCAAAAATGGCCAAGGACGGATCGGTATGTGCGGAATATGCCTTACTAGCTAATTACTCTTTAAAACTTCATGTCTCGTGTCTCCACTTATTATTAGCACTCGCACTTGTGGAGAAGATTAATCCATCTAAAGCAACTGAATTATGTTTCCAAAACTAACTTGAAATTGAAACATTCATAAATAGAAGAGCGAGAAATTGGTGAATAGAACAAGTTCATGAAATATGACCCATGTAAGGATTCCTATTTTTTCTATCTCAAGATTTTACTTTAACTTGAACAGCATTGTCCAATAGCTACTTCCAATGGTTTCCTCCGAAACTTCCAAGAAAGGAATTAACGCTCGATCAAGTCGAATTCATGTTATAATGGCATTAATTTCTGCCAATCTTGACCTCATTTCTTTCACATTCTTCAACAAATGCATCCATGTCGTTGTGAGAAACCTATTCTTTTAATTAATTGATGTTTACTATGCTATTTGGTTTATGTATAGAAAGTAGGTAGTAGGAGTCATCTTTATTTATGGCTATAGGGCTCTTTTTAGAAGAATCCCGTCATTAGCCAGCGAAAATTTTATGTTATTTATAGAATAACTATCAACACTTATTTCACAAAAGAGATAAGTACAAAGATGAGAAAGAAATTTAAAAAAAAAATTAGAAAAAAAATTAAACAAAAGTGGAAATGTTTTTATAACTTTTGGTGGATTGCAAGTGATTCTTTTTTTTTTTTTTTTTTAATCTATCCCTAGTAGGTCATAGAATAATTAATGTAAGTATACAATAGTTATTTTAGAAATATTTTAAAATTTTTCATTATCCTGTATTTCAAATTTAACAATTGGGATGTCTTCAAGTACAAGACAATAGGCCAAATAAATTAAAATATTTCATGCCTAAAAATTAAGTCAAGCATCTGCGTGATTAAAGATTTAACACACACGTATATACTAAAAAAATGCTTGAGAGCAATTGTTGTTATTGAGTAAATAATAATAAGTGTAATGATAATAATGAAAGGCATAACAAATTAATTAATAAAGGGTGTGTGAGCGTGTGTTTAGGACAGAGACAACAGACATTGAACATTCCAAGTAAAGATTAATCCTTAAGAGCAAGTACATTGAACGTTGGATAAGGGAACCAAAAACTAGGTAGGTAATTCCCATCCCAATAGAAGAGTCATTGATAATCAAATCCACCCTCAGAACAAAATTTGTAGCAGTAAAATAGTAATTAAATTATATACTACTACATCTCCAGTCCAGTAATATCGCCCCAATCAACAATCCGAACCGACTAAGGAAAACAACATCACTATAAAAAAAAAAAAAAAGGAGCAAGGCAAGCACCAACCTCCCATGTGCTCACATGCTTTCCAATTTCATTCCTTTTTTCAATCCATCAAAGTCTTGCTAATCAATCAATCGAAAATAATCCTCCAAGAAACTGCCATTTGTCTTTCTTCTCCCTTCTTCATTGTCGAATTTTTTATCTTCGAGTGGTCTACAACGTGTTATTCTTCCAAAACAAGAAGAACAGCAGCAATTTTGGCTCTCTTGCTTTCTTTTTCTGCTCTCGTGTCCTACTTCTACGCTAACGCTAGTAGACTCAACTGGTCTGGTTTCTTTGGGTGGGCCACCTTGCTTTCTGGGGTCGTATTGACATCAACATTGCTGGTTATAGCTGCCCGCGCCACGGTGTTGACATGGATCACGGTGCTGGTGCTTCTAGCTTTTGCAGGAAAGAGACGCCGGCTGCTTGTTCAACAAGGGAGGAAAATCACTACTGATGTCGTTATGTACTTGATTAAAGGTTGTGCTTAGAGCCATTGAGAAGCGATTCACTATGTAAAGGGAAATTGAAACATTTGAAAGAATTTCTCTGTATTTTTCTTTAATCAATTGTCTTGGTATTTTGGCAAAAATCATAGCGATGCAATGACAACAATGCCTTTTTCATTATATTTCATCTTTGTTTCCTTTTCTAATAATAACATATATAATAGCATAATGGGTTATTAGTACATGTTTCTTGCATATCTTTTTTAAAGGGTTTGTCTTAACAATAGTAGATTCTATCTCACGGTCGGTCTCAATAAATTGATAGGAAATTAATACCATCATCTGGCTCTTTTTGGCTTTTCATTCACTTTATAGGAGAAGGACTAACCTGAACACCCCTCCTCCGGATTTCTTTTACCATGATTTTGTAACAAGAACAATGCTAAAGAATTAGCACTATCAAATTTTGTTGGGATGATTTTTTTTTTTCTTTTTTTTAAAGGAAATTTGGGAAAAGGGCTGGAGTTGGATTTGACCTCAACTTCTGGAAAGCCTAGCTTAACTCCAACTCAACAAAGCAAATTAAAGCTCATCAATCTTCTAGTCTTAATTCACTCGATTAATACCATGCCTAACTAGGCGATAGTTTCCATGTCTCCACTTCTCCACCATGCAGATGGCAACTAAGCAACCAATAACATACGCCCACGTATGAATTCATAAATTCTTAAAATAGTCTTACTCATATTGAATTAACCAAGTCAGTTCCTTACTCCCGGAGGTTTTCTTCTTCTAAAAAAAAAAAAAGTCTTTATTACTTATCCAATAAGCCAGACAAAGAGTATAAATATAAAGAGAAACAGAAAGGAAAATAAACCAAGTTTATTCATTCACACTTAATATTTTCAGACGGCAAAAGCGGCTAACCGGTACGCTTTGTAAGTGATTCTTCATATTCTCTTCCCCGTTTTTTATTCCTTTACATGTTTGAACAATCCCTTCTCTTAAACGTACTTAATCTAATTTTGGGTTTTTTAGGTTTTCTCTTTTTTTGCTCGGTTTTTCTTTTATTGCGCGGCTTACTGGAACGCGATGGATTCTACTATGGTGATCAAGGTTTGTGCTTTAATGTTTTACCTTGTTTGATTCTCTTTTTTTTTTTTTTTTCGGGGGTTGTTGATTTTTTTTTTTTTTTTTTTTTGGATTTTTTGAGTAAATTATGAGAGAATTTGGAAATTGGGGTTTTGAGTTTTTTCTTTTGAACAATTTGGGTTTATATACACTGGTTTATTGCTTCAATGATACCTTTTTAAGGGAAAGATTTGATATTTTTTGTGTTTTTCTATTGTTTGTTTGCTCTTAGTGGGGTTTGATCGAGGGTTATTGATTTTTTTGTTGATTTGTTGAGTAAAATATGAGAGTTTGGAATTTTGAGTTTTATGTTTTGGTCTTTTGGAATTTTGGGTTTTATGTTTTTTTCTTTTCAACAATTTTGGGGGCTTTTTCAATTATTTGGCTATTTTTTCTTTCATTTTGCTTAGACTAGGGTTTAATGAGGCACTCAAGCCTGATGGGCTAATTTTAGAAAGGATTTTTAACAGTTTGAACTTTGATCTTGGCTGTGAAAGGAATCTTTTCTGGATTGAGTAGGGTTATGTCGAAATAAAGGGAGAATATATTTTTGTTTGAGTTTCTCCAATATCTTTGTTTTTTATGGGTATTTCAATAAAGAAAGTGTTTTTACAAGCAAATGGAATTATATGATAGATGGCGTTTCTTTATGTTTTTGTGTATTCCATATTACTCGCCCTTTTATTTATTTATATTCGCTCATGCGCGTACAGGTTAAATATGTTGATACACTTAGGCGTTTTAATGCTCATGTAAAGGAGAATGAGCAACTCGATCTTGACATGACTGCACTGAGGGCAAAGATCCTCGGCCTTTTTAATTTCCCTCCAGATGCTGATCTGACTCTAACTTATATTGATGAAGATGGGGATGTGGTTACTCTTGCTGATGATAATGATCTACGTGATGTGATGAGTCAAAATCTGAAATTTCTAAGGATTGATGTACAGCTTAATAATGACAAGTTTGGTAAATCTTATGCTAGATCTAGTGGTTGTTCTACTCCTATGAGGTCCCCCAGAGTCCAAAGTCCATTGCCATGCCTGAACAATGGTGTTGCTGAAGTGTTGAAATCTGTGCCAGAGCCCCTACGTGAAGTGCTTTCAACGATATCTCTTGACCTGGCTTCAAAAGCTGTGGCCTCGAATGCAGTGCTTACTGAGCTTGTGGACTGCTTTTCAAAGTTGGGGCAATCCCACGGTACTCCAGCCCCTCAGTCTCAAGATGGTGCAGGTTCCAGTGTCCAAACTGGTGCTGCAGCTCCTACAGTCCTAGATGCTCCTAAGGATGGAAGCATGCAAGAAGACTTGCCAAATTCAAATTCACCTTTCAAAATTAGCCGGGAGGACGGCTTGGAAACTAGGACTTCAGTGGCACCACACACTGCTGTCCCTGCAGCTGTTAATATGAATGAGAACCCTCAAGCTACCAATCCGTTTGCGCATTGTGCGCCCCTTGCATCATTTGTCCCTGCTGGTGATGATGGGAAGGAAGCCAAGAAACAGAATATGGGTCCTCATACTGGGAAGCCCACCCATTTCGGTTTTCCCTCCATTCCTGTGAATCATGTCTTTCCTTCACGCACTGATTGTCCATTTAGTGGAATGCCAGTGGCAAATGACTCAGCTGCACGCACTCCCAAAAGTCACGTAATTAAGAGAAACAATTTTCTCAATAATCCCATGGTTGGCATGTTTCATAGGGGTGTTCAATGTGATGGTTGTGGCGTTCATCCGATCACCGGGCCTCGGTACAAATCCAAAGTGTAAGAGACACACATCAAGCTTTGATGTCATGCCTATGCTTATAAAGATAATGGCTGTTGGATTGCTGCCATCTTCTCACTTATATTTTTTATTTTTTGGTTTCTGGCAGAAAAGAGGATTATGATCTCTGCAGCATCTGCTTTTCTGAAATGGGCAATGAAGCTGATTATATCAAGATGGATAGGCCAAGCCCTTTCCGAACTCCTTGGTCTTTCAAGGGGTTCAATGAACCTGTATGCAGACTTTGTATCTGTCCTGATATTTGATATTGCATGTGTGTGTTTTTTTTGTTGATAAAATCTTGCGCTTGATTTTTTCATTCCTGACTTATCATTTTCTTTTTCTTTTTTACCAAAAGACTCACAAGCCTTGGGTCTTCCCACAGCCTCCCTCTAAATGTTCTTATGGAGTAAAAGGAGCTCAACCTAAGCTAGACAGCCGTTTTGTTTTGGATGTCAATGTGTCAGATGGTACTGTGATGCCTCCATCTACTCCTTTTACTAAGATTTGGCGAATGCGCAACAGTGGTAGTGTTGCATGGCCTCAGGGAGTGCGGCTTGTGTGGATCGGGGGAGACCGATTCTTCAATGCTGATTCTGTTGAGATAGAGGTGGTCTTCTTCAGTTTGTATAGTAATGTTTAGCATCTGCTTTTGCTTTTGCTTTCAACTATTCTTCTGATCTTTCTTTGTTTTGTGGTCTCATTAATCCGTGCAGATTCCAGTCAATGGTGTGCCCATTGATGGTGAACTTGACATTGCTGCTGATTTTGTATCTCCTGCATCGCCTGGTAGATACATATCATATTGGAGGTTGGCATACCCCTCAGGTGGGAAATTTGGGCAGCGTGTCTGGGCTCTTATTGAGGTATTTGCATTATCGGTGTTCCCGTTCTTCTGTCTTATAGGTTTTCCGTCTTGTTACAAACACACACACACTAGAAAGTACACTGTAGTTATTCCTAATTTGTCCTTGCAGGTTGATGCTTCCCTGAAAGACCCATTCTTCAAAGATCTGAACCTGAATGAGACCCCCAATTGCAATTTTTCTAAATGCCCTGAAGTTTTAGATATGAATGCTCAGCCTGCTGTGGATGGCTGTATTGTGGAGCCTCAGAACACTACCTCACTTTCAGAACCAATAGAGCCCTTGGTTGATGAGCAGCCAAAGAGGCAGGAACTGAATTTTCCTATAGACGATGCCTTGCTTGTTGGCCATGGTGTTTCAGCCTCTGCTCCTCCACAGGCCTTGCCTACATCTGTTCCTGGATTTTATGCAATGATAGACATTTCTGAAACAGCCCCTACTGGTGTTTCCAAATCTGTTCCTGCTGCAAATGCTCCAATCTTATCTGAAGGGATCAAACTAGAGAATGCTGTTGAGAAGACCCTCCTAAAGGAACTTGAGGAAATGGGTTTCAAGCAGGTTGATTTGAACAAGGAGATCTTGAGGCGGAATGAGTACGATCTGGAGCAGTCTGTTGATGATCTTTGCGGCGTTGCTGAGTGGGATCCCATTCTCGAGGAGTTGCAAGAGATGGTAAGTCGTCTCTGGAGTGCATTTTTTAGGTCGTTTTGTGGCAGGACTAGGATTTGTCTTTTGTGTTTGTGTTGTTTTATTCCCAACACAAGATTATAGAATATATAACATATGTTGTGGTTGCAGGGTTTCTGTGACAAGGAAATGAACAAGAAGCTGCTGAAGAAAAACAATGGGAGTATCAAAGGTGTGGTCATGGATATTCTCACTGGGGAGAAGGCTTAGTTCCAGAATTTTAATCCTCCTCTGAGTTGTTCTATAGGTATTATAAATAAATCTAGGGTTAAGGGGTAATTGTGAGGGTTTAAGTTAATTGGATTCTCTAAGAACTGCTCTGTGTTTAATCATATTTTGGTAAATTTTTGTTGGTGCTACAACCCAATGCTGGCTGAATGTGTTTGTAATATCAGGTGCACTGTGAATGAATAATTTATCTGTATGGTAAATTCTGATGTTCTGTGTACTTATTGTTGCCTTGTCTACTTTTTCGTTATTCTTGTGCCCTTTTGGATGAAAGATGTGTTTGTGTTATGCAGCGTTTTTGGAATGCGTATTTGTTTCCTCGTAATTTTTAACAGTATATTGGCCCTCTTTAATAAAAGCCTGAGCTTCTGGGAAGATATTTGCGATTTTGGAGAATTTTATGACCTTGAGAAAATTTCATAGTTCTTTATGTGCAACATTTGTTTATGCAATTTAGGAAGAAACATAACAGTTTAAGGCCCAGAATGGAATTGGATTTTCTGCCACCTATATATATATGTGATTAGGTTTGAGTCCATATCTTCTACCGATGAAAGCCTCTTGTTCCGTAGGAAAGAGAAGAAAATCTCTTAGCCGTCCATGTTACGGTATTTAACATTTTGATGGTCTGGTTCTTTGTTTGTTGGATATGTTTTAAGAGACTGTATAATAAATTGTATTCATGCACCAATATGGGTATGGACAGGGGGTTTCGAGGTTTCTACAGGTTCTGATGAGGTGGGCGGGGACTTAGTTAAGGCTTTGGTTGCTTTGCACTATCGTAAGATTAAGGTTTTCGGTTTCTCTGGAAATGGCTGATTATGGGAGTTAGGTTTGGCGGGAAAGAGTTCAACAAGGTGGGAGGGTGAGGAAGTCTAAACTCCTGAGATAGCATATATGAAACATGGAACAATACAAAAGGGGACAAATCAGTCAAGCCCAACAAGATGCGAGGATAAGGAAGTCTAAACCTTGAGTGAAAACAGGAAAGTTTCTTGAAACTATATAGAAAAGATTTCTAAAATAAGATAATAACAGGTGTTGAGGACTGAGAAAACAATTTTATAGGGAGTATGCTGAAAAGTCCAATCTGTCAGGCAATCAGTAGCCATGTTGGCTTCCCTGAGAGAATGTAGGAGGACAATATCTAATTGAAGAAAATTTCAACACTCCCTGATAATGTAAGTTAACTGGCACGGACATAAGATGGAGCGAGACAGACAACCTAAAATCAAAGAGGAATCTGCTTCCACTATGTCAAGTCGCATGTTAAAATCACTGCATATTCTCAACCATCTGATAATGCTAGGGCCTCGCCTTCTAATTTGGCTCCGGACTCGTAAAACTTGGAGAGAGCCAATACTAGCTTACCCCTATCATCCCTGAGAATGCCTCCTCCACAACAAATATTATTCCTTGAGGCTCCATTAGCTTTTAGCTTAAACTTGCCCATGGGTAGAAAACACCATTTAATTCAGTAGCTCTTATTAGGTCTTGCATTTTGTAACCGAATGCCCAGACTAAGCAAACCAATTCTGTCATGAAAGCATGAATCTTTCTTTCGACAAAATAAAGGGGAGAGCTCATACAGTCATTTATTGACCTTGAATCTAATATTAAGACCATTCATCTCATCATTATCAAAAACAGTTTTGTTCCTAGCAAGCCAAATTTCTCATATAACACAGTTAAAAATAATCATGCGGGCAAATTGTTTCTAAGAAAGCAGCTTACCTGAAGTTAGCCAGCTTGCAACCAATTAATCCAAGTTGTTCAATCTGGAAAGTTGCAGCATTTACATTTGGAGGCCATCAGGATACACAGGATTTAACATTTGTTTCAACAGCTATTGCATTATGAAGCACTTTCCAGACTAACATTGCAATCTTTTTAAGCAGCTAGTTATCCCACAAACTCCTCCACCACTCGTATTTTGGAGCAGTGACACGAGGCCTCGTGGTAATCTTTGGTAGAGAAAGCACCAGACTTCGACTCTGTATAGATCAACCTATCCTCCACATTTTGCTCGAGATAAATTAGATCCAGTTCAGCTTGAATATGTTGGGGTAAGGAAAGGTATATTGAAGTCACATTTAGCTTGTGCTATTGTGATATTTGGATCACCCACTGGCTCAGAGAAATTAGACACCGTCCATCTGTCCTGCCACAACCTGAGATTGCCTTCACTCACCACCCAAAACGAATGATCCCTTAAATAGTCGATGTGAGGTAGCAGCGTTTTCCAAACCAAAGACCCCTTTCGATTATTGGATGGAAGAGAGGAAGAAGATTCCCCATACTTGGAACGCATAACGACACTCAACAGAGAAGAACTTGTTAGGAAAGCCCATGCCAGTTTCCCTTTCATAGCCTTAAGTACCTCATGCAAGTTTTTGATACCCAAATCTCCCTCTTGACGAGGAATCCAAATGGTGTCCCAGTTAATCCAGTGATGTATGTTGTCACCTCTGCTGTTCCAGAAAAAATTGGAAATATGACTTTTTATTCTGGCTAGAACACCCTTTGGAATGAGAAGAACTCCCATCAAGTAGATAGGGATGGAGGTTAAAACACTTTGGATCGAAGTGAGCTTCCCTCCGGCAGACAGTAATCACCCTTTCCATTCTACAACTTGGTCCTTGATTTTGGACTCCAGGTTTGCAAAATACTCCATGCGAGCTCGACCTTTGAACAATGGCATTCTCAGATAACTCATCACTGTATTGGCAATAGAAACGCATGTCCATGTTGTCAAATTCTTAATAGCACACATTATTATCACTAAATATACTAAAAGAAAATGTCTTAATACTATTTATTTATTATGCTCGTCTTTAAAATCACTATTCATTTATTATGTTTGTTAATATTTGTTCAAAAATATTCGCTTTGGTCTCTTATTTTTTAACATTATTTTTTTGCTTCGTAACTTTATTTTTCATTCATTTTGGTCCTTGTATGCTAAGAGGAGAGAAAAACGAAGGGAGAGAGATCAACGACGAGGCGCATTTCGGCCACCCTAGTGGTTGAGGTTGTCACTATTTTGTTCGTTTCGAAAAGCGGAATCTATTTGTGATGGTGACAAGCGATAAAAGGATCGGAAGAGACAAATCGGGATCCAAAAATATTTATACTTTTTGTAAATTTTGATTTAAATTTTTATGTGTTTTGTATAAGTTAAATTGAGTTTTGAGGTTCTAAACGGATTTAGTTATTTTGTTATTGTGATTTTGATGTGTTTTTTGACAACAAATGAGCTAAATTTAGTTTTGGGAAGGCGAAATTAAGATATCTAACTTTTTGATGATTTTTTCAATGAAATCGAGCTCGTTAGAAATTATAGAGGTCATAAAAAATAGGAAACAATAATTCTTCTATTTTTATGCCTAGGCCCAAGTACGTAGGCTCGATCTTCCAAACCCAAGCGCAAACGACTCGTCACTCCGAGCCCGAGTGCAAAGGCCCAAGTCCTTTGTTCTTTTTTCTCTACTTTTATTTCATTAAGAATTTTTAGGCAAAAATTATGGAATATCGATCGTTATTATTTTTTTTTATGTAGCATAGCGAAGAGTCATATATATACCGTCTTCTAACCTATAGACTTTAGACAAGTGCACCTATCATTCTATAGTACAATTGACGAGTACCGAGTGTCAATCCCATAGAGACTACGAATACTAGTAATCATCCTCTTTTTATTATCTAACCGAAGTATAGTGATAGTGAACAATTAAAAGAAACAATAACTAAAGCAAGATCACGAAATGTAACAAGAATAACAAAAATAGCTAACCAAGCAATCAATTGTAAAGATAGTACCCGGATAGCGAATCCTCCTAAGACCTTCTATGTAATCACAATATCATTCATTCAATCATTCTTTATGTTCATCGGACCATAGGAATTCTCGAATTATGCTAACTACTTTCTCAAGTTAACTAACACCTAACCCCAAGTTGATTAATCGAAATCTCTTTCTAATTAACACCCCTAGGATCGCATTAATTTGTTCCGTGAATTCCCTTATTAGATTTGACTCTAATCCGGAAGATTTATGTCGTCTTATTTCTAGGATTGCATGCAACTCTTTTCGATTACGGTTGATCTAATCACACTTAGGATTTTTCGGTCTCACGAGTATGAAATCGAGTATGAATTAACACGCTAGCATATTCTAATTCAATTAAACAATAATTACAACATAACTGAATCACAACAAAAATAAAGATTGAACCGACTAAAGATATTAGATCACATAGTCAATCTTAGGATTTGTCGTATCTAGATACCAACACAATTTAGTTTATAGTCAAAGTGAAGAACACATAAATCTTAAATAGAGAACAATAATCATTCGGGGAAGACATTGTAACCCCTTTAATCTTCATGCAATCTCCTCCATAATCGATGAGAATCCACTCCAACGGCATTATCTTGCTCAAAACCCAACTTTTCTCGTGCCTCTAGGTTGTGTTTTCCGTCTCTCCAAGTCGGCTCACCAAACCCTAGGTCACATTTCGGCTTAAATATGAGCAAAAATGCACATTCCGTAAGACACGGTCGTGTCTCTACACGTGTAATGTAAAATTTCATTTTTCTCTTAATCGGATAGTTACACGACCTACTACACGAATGTGTCTTTGCCCGTGTACGCCTGTGTCTCAAAATTCAGCTTTTTTTTCGATTACACGACCTATTACACGGGTGTGTATTTGGTTGTGTAATTCACTAGTCACTCGAAATTCACTAATTTTGATTCATTCTTGCTTGGTTTCCATTGCTTTTCACCAAAATAACATAACATGACTTGAGAAACACAATTTAAGCAAGATAATCGCCAAAATTATACCATTTATCACTAAAGACAATTAAAATATAAGAAATTTGACACTAAAAATATGCATAAATGGGCACTTATCATATATATAGATATATATAATTTATTCTTTAAATTTGTCATTTTTTATGAAAATTATCATCCCATTAATTTTTTATATAAAAATATTTATTGATAAATATGATTAATTTTTCTCTAAATTTAGAATAAAATTTTAAAACTTGGTTGTTGTTTTTTTTCTAAAAAAATAAATTGATATAATATATATCATGAATTCTCATAATTTTTAATATATATATATATATATATATATATATATATATATATATAGAGAGAGAGAGAGAGAGAGAGAGAGAGAGAGATATTTTAATGTAAAAAACTAAAAGTGTATTTCATAATTTTTTTCTCAATCAACTAGGTATGGTCAACACGTTTAAAAAAACTATTGAATCATCAATTTTATTAAAAATTAATTAAACGTCATCATACAAAACACCAATTATTGTTGTGAACATATATTTTTTAAAACATTATAGAACTAATTTATTTTAAATAAAATAATTTTTTAAAATAACTAACCAATTATTCAAATATAATTTTTTAAGCTAACATTATTGATTATTTTGTGTGTGTGTGTGTGTGTGTATTCAAAAATCTTTTCACCGGCATTAAATAAGAATATTTTTGTTAGTTATTTTTTATACAAGTCTATATACATCAATTGTAACTTTATTTTTTGAATAAGTTATTATAAAAAATATATTTTTAAAGTATTTTTTTAATTCTTGATAAATATTTCGGTTTAAATTATTACAAGTTTTTATTTTAAAAAACCAATGCATTAAAAAATTATTTAAGTAGAAAATTAATGAAAAAAACATAAAAAAAAAATTAATGAAAAAATATAAAATAATTTTATTTTATCTGATCCACAACATAGCGGGGGTAAACAACTAGTCTATATACTAAAAGAATATGTGGT